CATGAGCTTTTTAGCTGAGGATGTGTGTGTGTGTAAGTGTATGCTAGTGTGTGTCTCTGTAGTAAAGTGGTTTGCATATAAAGAAGATGTTAAATTGTCATGCTGAAAAATTAATGGCTATTTTTAGATAATTGCTGGTAACTAATGGTGCTATTATTTTTTAGTAGCACTTGAAGCAGTTGTTGATAAGGTCTTACCTGTCCCAATTTATGTTCTTTTATTACTCTTCGTTATGGAAGTAATATGCTTTAGTTGCAAGAGGATGGGCTTAATTCACCTGGGATGCAGTCTGATCTCTGACCCTTACTAGCCTCAGGTGAGTCATTTAACTCTCCATTTCCTCCTTTTAAACATGAGGATAGGAATACCTGCCTTGCAAGATTGTTCTGAGGATGCATAGAAAGTATTTGGCACACTGTAAACCCTTCATAATGGCAGCAATTATCATTATTTCCCTTTCCCACCTTCTTTCTTCTACTACTTTTCTTCTTTCTTTCTTTTTCACTTCCCTTTCTCCTCTGCCTGTACCTTAGGTTTGTCAATGGCATAGACATTGGCTGAACTATCTTGGTGCTGTTTTTTAGGTCAAGAATAATATCAATAAAGTAAGTTGCTAGATTTAGAAAGGATAAACCATTGCTGAGTGAAAAGAAGGAACGAGTCTGTGTAAGAAGGGCAGAAGGCATAACAAGTGAAAAAAGATATGTCCTCGCTCATGGGAATGAGGAGAAGGTTCTATATAAGGAAGTAAGGAACTGTGAGGTAAGGACTAAAGCAGAGAGTGAGGCAACACCCTGTGGAAGTTTGGAAGCTCTAGAGGTATAAACTCCTGCATTCTTTGGAAAGCTGACACTTTCTAGAACTCCTTGTCTCAATGCGGTATGCCTAGCTGCAGAAAAATATCTCATGAGAGCATTGTTAGAAATATCAGTTGTGCTCATGTTGAATTATAGAATTCAAGTGGTTTACACTAGTTAGAAGACACTGGATCAGATTTCTTCATTGTTAGTGAACAATGAATGTAGAGGATCTATGATTTAGTGCATCCAATACAGGTGTGTCTGCAGATGAGTTCAGATTTGAGGCAGTGGCAATTGGGAGCCGTTAGAGTTGTCTGAACAAGTGAATAACTTGGTGAAACAGTTTTAAGCAAATTAATCTCAAACTAATGTAGGGGACAATTTGGAAGGACAAATCAGAGAAAGAAGGCAACAGTCTGAAAACCAACCTGGCAACGTGGGATTTCATCCTCAGGTGTGTTCCTTGAACCTGACTTGCTATTATTTTTACTTTGTGATTTCGTTCACTGTTTTCTGGAATGCCCTGCCATTCCCTCCCCATGGACCTAAATTCATCTTATTTATCCTTTAAGTTTCAATCAAGCAGCCACTCCTGATGAGCCTATATGCTCTAGTTTAGATTATGGTGATCACAATGTTCCCTTAATCATTTCAGTGACTCGCATAGTGTTTCTTTTAGATTTTTGGTGTCTATTCTCCTTAGGTACTTGATGGTCAGAAACATTACTTACAATTTTTTATAAGTGCTTCACAACACCCAGTATGAAGTTAAGCTTTTAAATAAATACTTGTTAAATTGAATGGAGTCCAAACCTTGGCAAGATCTTGGTTGAAGCCACAACTGCTTTGCTCCAAAGAAGAGCTTTCCACTGGCGTCAAAGCGACATCTGGTGGCTAGGGGATCAAAGGCTACATTCAGGACACTGGTGTTCAGGTTGGTAAGGCAAAGATGTAAATGCACAACCTGCAGGTGACTGGCATGTGAGGGCAGCACCTTCGTTCCCGACTACGACTGAGCTCTGCTCTGTGTTCACAGAGGCCTGTTCACAGATGTGATAGAGAAGGCGGGCGTACAGGTACAGTGCAGTGGTGAGGAACACAGACATGCCCAACTGTGTGGGGCTAAGTAACAACAACAACAGCAAGTTACTCAACCTCAGTTTTCTTATCTCTACATAAATGTTCACTACTATTAGTACAACAAAACGTACTTGAAGAATCACCTTAAAAATAATTTGGAAAATGGATGATATCTCCTTGACAAGGAGATAGAATATATGCATATATTTTACCATTGAGATTACAAAAGTCATACCCATTGCCCACACGTGGGCATGCAAATAAATAATTCCACTGTGTGAGGTTTGCAAGAAATCTGCAGTAATGATGTTAGAAGCAGATCTTGTTGGTTTTTCACCTCTAAAGAAATAGAGAGAGGAAGAAAGGCTTGGAATAGCCAAGGAGGGGGTCCCGGCAAAGCCAAGCAGGTCTGGGCGGGCTTCGCACTGTGAAGCTGCATCATGATCTTTGTCCTCAAAATATCTGAGAAAAGCAGAGGGCACTGTTAAATGGAACACTTTCTGGAGCAAATGCCCTCTGCAGTGATGAGGGCATCTGAAGAATTCTTTTCTTTTGAGTCTTCTCAGCATGTATGGACAGTTTTTGAACTGTAAACTGCAGAATTGAGGCTAACCTGTTCTGCTTTTTGAAGCATCTTGTGAGAAAAAGTGGCTCTTTCAGTTTCTAAGCAAATACAGATAAGTTAACTCCTCAACAACTAGCCCAGTGCATGGAATGGGTCATATTTTCAAGGTGTAAGGAAGATGAAAGATTTATCTGGGTCCCGGTGTCCCTGTATTCTTGTACTGTTGCCTCCATGACTCCAGCAACCCTTATGAGCCCAAAGAGAATCTGTAGAAGAGGAAGGAATTATTTCTGCAGGAAGATTACTTTAGCACCAGCTGAAGTTCTGGCCACAAATCTCAGTGTAGAAGTATCTCGTGAACTGGATTGGGCCACATCAAGTTTTTGTGTCTATGGTCTAAGCCAGCTAGAAGCAGACCAAATGGCCTCTATGGGTTTTTATCTCTAGTTTTACAACCGTATCTTTGTCCTACAAAGCTTGCCATTTGAACAGGAAGATGAAAAACTCACTGAGGTTAAGAGAGCATCTCTCTCTAATGCTGAGAGCAGCTTTAGTGACCACCCATTCTGGGCTTCCTTTCCTCTGGTTCTTGCCTTGGTTCCCACTGGCCTTCTAAGGAGAGAGGAAGACCATCCTTCCAGGCTTGAATGGGCTTTGGGGCCCCTCTGACTATATCAGCTTCATGAGTGGAGAGAAAGCTTGAAGAAGGCAAACCTAAAGAGAGGAATCCATTAGGAGGCATCAAACAACCACATCTCCTTTGAACATCTTAGTGCATCAAGTTGGAGGCACCCAAGAATGCCCCCGATGAACCTTGAAAGGGAAATGGGAATGGAAAGGGTGGTGAGACGGCCCTTAGTACATGTCGAATGGTTGGGGAGTGAGTAAACAAAATCCCTTTCTGGATTTATATCATGATCAAAATTTGCTCCAAGGAAGTCTAACATAATTTAGAGAGAATGATAATGTGAAGGTTCTTTTTAGTTCAAGGTCTAAAATCTATCTTTATTCAGGCAATGGGCTTATTTAGGAAAGTTATGAAGGCTTATTTAAGCTTAAGTTAAGATTCCAGCCAGACAAATTATCACTTTTGATTGTTTTATACCATTTGAAAATGTTTGTATTACCGGAATCACAAAATTGAAGGATTGGGAGTTTCTTAACAGATACTTAGTCCCATCACTAGGAAGTTATCCCATGGATACATGAGCACATGTGCACTGGGATAAATGTGCAAAGATGTTCATCTCAGCATTGTTGATATCAACAATGATGATTTTAAAAAGCCATGAAAAACCAAAATATTCATCTTCAGCACTTAGGGAATTATAGTACATCTATATATGCAGCTGGTAAAAAGAAACAGGGACAAGTGTGTAGGATGTATCATTAGGTAAATAAAGTAGGCTTGATCTTATTTATGTGAAAATAGTGAGTCATTTACATATGCTTATAAATGCTTAGCAAAGCTCTAAGAGAACACCCAAGAAACTGAGGCCTGTTAAGTTCACACTTTTACCCTTTCTACCTGTTTGAATTTCTTACTATGAGCATGTGTTCTTTCTCACTTAAAAAAGTCACCTTGTCTTACATCTTGACCGCTGAAGCATCCCCACCAAGCAGTCATCCTGGCTGTCCTTAAACACTTCCACTGATGGAGAACTCACTACCTATTAACTATCAGACAATGTTTTGACCAAGACCTCCCAGATGATAATTACTTATTAAGATATGACCTAGATTTCTAGGGGCTAGATCTGTCAATCCTGTCTTGAGGGTCCTGGAGCTGGATGGCACACAATTTTGACAGATAGTTCTTGGTATTTTTTCAGTTTTAAAAATTATTTTTGAATATATGAACAGAAACTAATTGAGAGACATATATTTCTGGGAAGAACCTTCAAGTTATTAAAGGAAGAGAATAAAAGCCTTTTTAGAATGCCATTTTAAGGAAGATAAGAAGAGTGTGTATAAAAAAAGAACCTTGTTTTCAAGGAAGCTGATATGTTGATGGGGGTAGGGGATAACATTCACACTCAAAGAGCATACATGAATACAAGCACTGTTACATACCAGAAGAAGGAAAAATCAGTAAATGCCAAATGAACAATGATCTTGACTGGATCCATGGGAATGCTAGGTGGAAGAAATGGTCTTAGTTTGAGTTTTGAGAAATGGGGAGTGAGGGCAGTTGTAGGGGATGGAGGCATTTGGCGGTAGAAGGAAAGGGCAGGAACGGCGATGGGCACTCACAGGGACAGTGGGCATGAGCAGGCCTGTTTGGGTAAATGGAGGGTGTTTGGTGGAACCTTCTTTCTTTTTTGAGGATGATGCCCAGGGGGAGAATCATGCCCACACAACATGTCCCTGGGCCTTCTCGCAGAGCCCCAGCAGCCCGTCCCTGTGGACTCACCTGTGGTAGGTCAGCATTCCTGGTTCCATACATGTATGTTTCCTAATGATCCCTTTCACCCAAAAGGGCTATGAACTAACAGAATTTTGTTTTTGCATTGTGTGAAATGTGGAAAGTAAAGGCAGGAACTGTTTTGGGGATATTCTTTTTATTTACTTTATTTAAAAAACATTTTTACTTTTCTATATATCAGAAATGAAAAAGCATATATTTCAACACAATTTCAAGAATATTGGACTCCACATTTGGGTATCCTTGTGAATACTGTCTGTGGCTATCACTGTCCAGTGCATAATGAAAAAAAAAAAAAAGAACAAAGATTCTTCACTGAAGACATGGTGGGATGATGAGAGTTCTATTAGACTGCACTCATTCAACATCTATGTGCAATTCTTCAATAAATTGGTCCAGGCCATACCCTTTAACTAGTTGGTTTTCAGAAAAATTAACCTTTAGGATAGTTGAGCCCAAGTTCACTGTCTTGCTCATTCATATTCTCTCTCTCTCTCTCTCTCTCTCTCTCTCTCTCTCTCTCTCTCTCTCTCTCTCTCTCTTTCTCTCATCCTCTCATCCTCTCTCTCATCCACTGTTCACACACAGCAACCGGAAATGACACATTGAAGTGAGTCACCAATATGGCTATGAGTCACCCTATAATTGGGGAAAATTCTGTCCTACTGGGTCGTGCAGTCCCTGTACTCCTGCTCCTAGATATATTGGAAAAACTTGAAACCACTCTGTCCTCATTCTAATCTCTCTTACACACCACATCTTTTTGGTCCCTAAAGTGGGCTGAAGTTGTATAATCTTGGCAGGGGTTCTAATCCATCAAGTGGAAAGGCAAGGAAAGAAGAGTGATGGAATTTGGGCAGCCACAAGGTGGCAGTATGAGCCCCTTATGCTTGCCACCCAGAGGGTTATAGCTGTTAAGTGTCCAGACAGACTCCTGAGATGCAATGACACAGACCACAAAGGAACACTATAGCAAGTTTAAATAATATGATTTTCTTGATAATCCTCTTTTTCTCTAACAAGCACACAATGATGTGATAAATATTCAAACACACCCCTGGCATCCCATCCCATCCTCCCCATCAGGAGACTGGAACCAAGAGCCAGGCACACATCTCCTTTCTTCCTCTATTCCTGCAAAATAAAGTTTGTGGGAAGCAGAAATCTGCTTCTATGAGTAAACAAGTCACCTACACTCCAAAATAATATATGCTCACTGTTTCTGGGGAGGGAGACGGTCAGGCCAGGGTAGGTCTTGGTACTGAGTGGGCAGTTGCTCTGCCAGTCCATAGTACCTCTGAGCTGGGGGAATATAGACCTTGTAATGAAAGGGTGTTTCCTCCATTGGCCTCTGGCCTGCTGCCAGCCTCCTCAGCAGTGGCAGACAGTGCAAGAGTGACGGCAACGTGACTGGAACACAAATAGCTTCTACCAAGTACACAAAAGCTCCTGTAAGCCTTGTAGCGCCATCCTGCCAGGGCCTCAGTGGGATACAGGTCTGAAGACCCGAACAGGCAGAGCGATGGGCAGAAGCAACTGCACAAGTGACTCTGCAACTTTTACAGTCTGGTTTGGAGAACTTCAGGGAGTTGTGCTTCAGAGATCTCTTCCAGGATTTCCACTGAGTAGTTTCATTGAAAAGTCCTCTTTCCCACCTTGGGAAAGGCTGAGGTCTAGGAGGCAGATTTACCATTAAAAAAAAAAAAAGCAAATAAATGCCTTCTCTTTCCCCAGAATGATTAATTAAAATAAGAGTTCTTTTCTTCGGAGTTTCCTCTTCTCTGATACATCTCCAGTTCTGTCCCAGATGAAGGATTCTTTTTCCCTGGTCAGGGTTCCATCACTTGGCCCATGAATAGGACTGTTCCTGAGGATGGAAGAATCATGGGAGATGAGAATTCAAAGGAATGGCAAAGCTCACCAAGCTCAAACTGTACAAAAGATCTAAGATCTGAGAAGATTAGTGAGATGTCTGGAGTCACAGCTGCTTTAGTGACTAAGCTAGGACTGGGGTCCTGGCACAACACTGTATCTGTGATTGAGCACTGCTTCTGAGGAGAGGAAGTGGGACAGTGTTAGATTCCTTGCCTAGAGTCCTGGGTTAGGAGCGGGTGTCCACACCTGTCTGGTCTGGCACCCGAAATGGGAGAAATGGAAGGAGGAGGGTGGTGGAGCACTATGGGCCTTGGGCTCACCTGTGGGGTTATGCCGCACCACGAAGAGGAAGGGTCTGTCCATGATGATCTCCTCGGGGGCCATTCGGGCTGAGACGGTAATGGCTGGAAGAGATGGGGCAATGTCTTAGAACAGAGGGACATCGCACTGGTCGCAAATGATCCATTGACATCAGCCTTTCGTCTGGCCGCCACACTGGGGGATGATTTTTAGGAGGATCTGCTGTTCTGCTGGACATGAACCTTAAATCAGGCCCTCTGAGGCCTGATTTCCTCCAGAAGTTTAGTAGGGAATCTGCCAGCTGCTCTCACACAAACATTTATCTAAACCTTTTTGGAGTTTACTGATAAGCAGATTCCTTAAGTTGACTAGCCACCATAGGAACAACCTGGGCTTTCCTGTGGGAGGCCTTTCACATTCAAAGGATCTCAGGAGCCATTGGGTGAGTGATCGGGGTCCCAGGGAACGTAAGCCCATTTTCTAGGCTGAGAAACAAGAGTGGGAAAAGGGTAAAAAAAAATAAAAAAATATAAAAAAAGGGAAGGGTGATGCTCCCCGCACAGGAAGAGCTGCTATTCTAGGAGAGGCCTGGCAGAGAAGGGTGGAGAGGGGTTTGGGTGCCATAGTAGCCCTTCCTAAAGCCTTGGGCTGAGACTCACCAGGCCTCACTTGAGCCTGACTCACCTGTAGAGGAGGACGCCAATGTGCCTTTCTCATTCACCTCGATCTTCACTTTTTGCAGTGCCTGTGATACGTAGAGAGGCTCTTGGTCTGAAACAGGTGGATACAAGAGTAGATCAGCCATAGTTCTCAGGGAAAAGCTCCTTTGACTTCTTAGGGACCCCACATTCAACCAGGATATGAAAATGAAAGAAAAATCTCTTACCTGAAAAACTTGAGAAGTCTGCCTGACTTGGACTAAACATGTCTGTCATCCCCAAGTTCTCTAGGGGCTGTCTGAGGTCAACTTCACTCTCCAGAGAGAATCTGTAGACAGGAGAAGGAAACAGCTTAAGCTCGGGCCACCTCTGGCCACCACCACCACTTCTAGTCCCCTACCAGGTATCATCCCGGCAGCCTGACAGGATGTGGACCAATGTGAGAATAGAAGAAGGAGGGCTTGTTTCAAGTCTGTTTGCAAGGTCTCTCTCCTTGCTGGAGGTTCTAATATTAATGAACATTCTTCTGCAGTCCCCCAAACCCCTCAAACCTATGACTAATTACTTTCCTCAAGGCAATAGTTCATTCAGTCTGGCTGGGGGGCCAAGGGCAAATTCTTTGGCAAGCCTATTTGAACAAAAATCTGGTCTTTAGATTGTGTTTCTGAGAGCTAACCCTGAAGAGGACTCAAACAGCGAGGCTTTGGGGTGCTCTCTGCTTCCCATCAGGGCGCAACTAATTACTTCAATTTTTAAGAGAGAGAGACAGAGACATGAGAAAGAGACAGAGACAGACAGCTAACCATCTAAATTCTCCTCTTTCCCAGAGCCTGGTATTATAGTATCTGAAAATTTGGGGTAAGTGTGGTGGGAGGCTTCCCTACAATTCTGGAATTACCCAGTCTCAACCTTCTCTACCCTCTTTGCTTCTACAGAAGAATTTTAAAAATCTGCTCTGTTGGAATCTAGCTAGAAGCTGTAGTTCTGGCTGCTCCATCTGCAGAAATGATTCCTTTTGTCTCCATGGTTTGGATGTTGACTTGAGGAAATGGGGGCAGGAGTGAGGCATTCATAAAAGAATGAAGGCAGATTTAGCCCGCCACCTCCATCATTTCTCTAGCCTTTCCTTTGGCTGGCTTTTGCCAGATACTCAAAGGGTGGTATGTGTGGGAGCATGTCTAGAAGACTCCTCCTTGCCCTCCAGCAGAAATGGGAGGAGGGATGATCAGAAGAATCTTAATCAAACCCAGGCCAGAGTGTTTCCCATCAGCCTCCCACACATGCCTCTTCCCTGCAAACATCATGTTTGGGAAACTCAACACAGGGATGGTGTTTTTAGGAGAGAGGAGAAGCAGGAGATAGAGGGAATTAAAGCATTGGTAAGTTCAGGGAGAGCAAGGGATGGCTTACTTGGGCAGAACCAGGAGGCGGGGCAGACGGGTCATATTCCCTTTCCACTGGCTGATGAGCTGATCATCCAGAATGTTGGTGAGGGCAGAAAGAGGCACCTCTTTTTCATAGGGAGCAGCAATGAACATGCTGAGAGTGTCCCCATGGTAGGGCAATTCCAGGATGTCATAGTAATGGCCATCAGGAGTAGAAAACTCAGCTGTGAAGACACCAAGATGATGCATTGAAAATGGCTCCAGCTCTTGTTGATTCTAACCTGGCACTGGTTTTTCAATCGGTTTTCCTGTTCCCTTCACTCTTTCTGGAAGGTAGCTCTCCATCCTGGCTTTGGAGGCTCCCACACCTATCACTCTCCTAGTCTATGTTTTCATTCCTGTTTCTCTTTTGTTCTGCCAATTCAGTGTCTTCTGGAATTTATTTCTGACCTTCTTTATCTTCACTCCCCTCTTCCCCATACCCAGCTACTAATTCATTCCAATACTCATCTCCTTAATCTCAGCTTCCACATAACCCTTCCTTCAGTAGGGTTTGTGAGCCCCAGATAATCACACTAGAAACACATGAGGATGAGAGACAGGGGTCAAGTGCTCAAATGTGAGCCTGAGAGAACTGCTGGATTTCAGCTTCATCTCGCATGAGATAAAGCTACTTTCTGCTGCTCCTAGTGTTTCCTACTTGGGAAGTCTGTTAATGCTAGAGTATATCTATGGTTTCTCCTTCTTTGGAGGCGAACACCCAGGGATGAGGTCCAATAGGTGTGGGACTTGGGGAAGGGAGTCTTGTACTTACTGTAGTTGAACTTGTTGGTCTGAGCCATCATGGGCACTGAGATGGTGCTGCCATCAGACTTATGGAAGAGGCGGTGGTGGGTGCCTGATTCTGGGAAGGGTGTCTTCCAGTGCCCATTGAAATACAGGGCATTCACCAGCACCAGGCGTGTCAGCTGGTCCACTGTTCCTTCACCAAGTAAGTCGCTGATCATGCCTATGAGAAAACCAGATGATCATGAGATAAGCATTTTTTAAAATTCTCTTAGATGGTTCCCTTCAGCTCCCAGGGCTCTCATAGATGTATGTCTGTTGAAGCCATCCAGTCAGAAGATAGCCTGGAGGTTTAGATGAAAGAATCTGGCTGTTTTCAATCTGTTCCATCTTCCTAAGGGGTCTCAGAAAACTTCCCAGATCACCGCACTTTCTTGGGCCTGGGATCCTGTCTGGGATCAGATCTGGAAACTTAAGTCTTCCTTTACTTTGCCCCCTAAGCTGCAATCTGAAGGACTGTGTGTGCTTCTCATCATGGCTATTACTGTTCTAATGAAATCTCACAACACTTTCTAGGGATGCCTTTAGAGTTGGTTCATGATAAGGCCTAACTAATTATGAAACATGACACTTTGATTCTTAAAGCACTTGATCTTCTGTCTACAGAGAAGAGAATGCCAAAAGAGAGAGGTTGGATATTTGGGATTTGTTTCCAGATCCCCTTTTTTGACAGGCCTTTGGGATGGGCCTCCTTTCCCTGCCTACTCACCTTTTGTGTGTCTCTTCACCCAGTCATTGACAATGAACCTGGCTCTTTCCATCTCTGAAAAGTCCACTTGCTTGACTGTGGTCCGGAACAGCCTGAAGAAGTAAGGCATGAAGCCTTGGATCAGCTTCAGATCTCGCTGGACGAAGATGGCATCGGCAATGCTGATCTCATCCTTGTTCCATGGACCCATGAGTTCCTTGTACAGTTGACGGAGGGCAGGGGCTATGCCCTTCCCTATGGCGAGAGAGGAAAGGATACATCAGGCTCCTGTTCAGCCAGCTCTCCTAGCTGAGCCAACTTCCTCCATGAGGGGCCTTACCCTGCCCTTATGGATGGGGCTCTTCTGCTCCTCAAATTGTCTCTGGCGGGAGATTTCTTTCCAGACCTTAATCTCTTCTGCATCTCCCTCTTTTCCTTAAAAATATCAGGCCCTAACCCTTTGTTTGCGTTAGAATATTTTTCTGTTTTTATGTTATGAACCTTTAATTTTTTTCTCATAATAATAATAATAGCAGCTGTGCTAAGCATTTCATATGCACAGTTCTATTTAATCTTTACAGCAGCCTTCTGTAGTAGGTACTTTGACCATCCCCATTTTGTAGATGAGAAAACTGAGCTTCAGAGGGGTTAAAGTTGTGCAGTTTGTTAATGATGGTGAGGCAAGGCTGTTTTATTCCAAATCCACTGGCCTGTATATCCTTTGACTGGCCAAGGGCCACCTGACACAGGTATGGTGGGAAGAAGATGTGGTGGTCTCTATGGCATAGCGGTACAGGCATTGGGTTGGCTAAGCTGGAGTCAGCCTTTTCTCTGCTTCTGGTTGGTTACACCCCAGTTCTATGAAGACTGCATGAATGCCTGCTTCCTACTCTTCCTCATCCCTTACCTTCAATCTCGAATTGCATTGCCTCTTGGATCTGCTGCCTGGTTTCTCCTCCTGTTGTCAGCTGCAGCATGGCCAGGACCGAGGCCACCCCATAGGGTGAGAAAACCACATTGCGGTCCTTGGAAGCCTGTGCCACCTGCTGAAACACCTTCACTCCAAAGTCTGTGACCAGATGGGCCGCCGGAGACTGATGATGGTATGAGGTGGACACTTCACCAAAAATGAGGGCTAGGCCCAGGGCTAAGCAGGCAAAGACTGGAGACATCTGCATCCTAGAGCACATGAGAAAGGACTTGATGAGGCAGTAGTTCTTGAAGAATTGTGAGTGGGGAGGGAAGATGATATCCAAGCCGTGGGCCATACTTCCTATGTTTGCTGCTGGCAAATGTTAAATGAACATGAGGCCAAGATCCATTAAGAAACCATGATGGGTTCAGATTCTGCAATTGTTGTTTTGGCAGGGTCAACTTAGGGCTGATGTCTGGCAGAGTGGGGATAAACAGAGGGAAAACGGGGATCTTGGACAGAGGAGATTCTGCAGAGGGACGTTCTCCACTTTAACCCAAGGTAAGAGATGGAGAGTTTGTTTTTCTCTTACCTGAAATTCTCAGGGTGCCTTGTGACTGGTGATTTGTCCTGCTGCTGTTGCTGCTGCTGATTGTGGCGATTTTGCTGCTGGAGAAGGGATGTATCTCTCTTGACAGTGCCCTTGGCCCTGTAGCCAGATGCAGCTGTGCCGTTAAGGAGGCTGTGCCTTCTTTTATACCAGAAGTAGACAGGAAATAGATTAACTCATGGCTCAGCCCCCACCCACTTTCTGGCTCTGGAAGTCTGACTTGCTGAGGCATGTGTGTGCGTGCTGCTGTGTGTGTGTACGTGTGTGAGAGGGCTCAGGAACAATTGAGCAAACCCAAACTGCCTTGGTCCAAGGACTTTCCCTGATTTTGCTGCCCTCTGCCTGTGTCCTTCTTTCATTGAATATTATGCTATCCTGACCCCTGGCAGTGCCAGATGGCCCCAGATGCCCAGTGTTTGAGATCACCTTCCCTAGTGCTCAGCTTGGGGAAGAACAGTTCACATTTCCTCCTTTTCCTTTGGAGAAATGGTTCACCACAAGTAATAAAAGAAGCTAACAATCCTGTGGACTTTTGTCTGCCAGCACTGTCTACCCCATGTGCCGAGCAACCTGAGAAGAATGCCCCTCCCTCCTCTTGGCCACATCCCAGCAGCCACAGGGCACGGAGCGTGCCATGTGATTGTCTGGGTTTTGACTGTTTAGGACATGAACCTGGCAAAGGACTCCCTCCTGTCTTTCCTTCTTCCCTTCCGAGTGTTGGATGATGCATGGCTGACTCCCCCGTGTGTCCAGACTATTTAGGTGCCCCTGAGGGCTCTCTTTTGTGTCAACAGCCCTGTCTGGCAGGGGTTTGAGGTGTGCTAGGTGAGTGGTGGAGGCTGAAAGGGACCAGAGGTTACTGTGGTAAAGTCTTGCCAAGGAATTAAGAGCTCAATGTGTAAGTTTCATTTCTCTGAGCTGCCAGCTGTGACTGGGGAGAATTAAACCTTATCCTTTTCCTCCAGATGCAGACACATGGAGGACTGGAGCAGTGGGAGTAGGGATAGAAGTGAGGACATCAATTCCTGGCGGGTTTGTGGGTATGCTCTTAGGGCATTGGTTAAAAATGGAAGAGTGACCCAAGAATTCTATAGAGGGTAGAAATTGCCTCTAGGGACTGGACTAGTACATTTGGGGGCCTGGTGGGGCCAGGTACCCTTGGCTGTGTGACCTGGATGTTGTGGACAACATCCAGGGGCTGGGTGCCAAGAGGTCTTGCACTTGACCTGAGGGTCCACACACTGTCATGATTTGTGCAGGTGGTGGTGTTCAACTGGGAAGTATCCATGGAGACAGCTGATAGCAGATTCACAGGAAGTTAAAGTGGGTGTAAGCGTCAGGATATTTGTTTTGGATTTTTTCAGTAAACGGATACCAAGGGCAACCACAGCTGGATGGCTTTTCCAAGTTTACTCTGCTTCTGTCTTTGTTTTCTCCGTTGCCTCTGGGAGTCAGGTGGGGATGTAGGGTGGCAGGGAAAAAGGGGCAACCTTGGTTGGAAGGTTAGGATTGCTGACCAGTGTTACAGGACTGTTCCCATTTAGCTGGTTCTTGTTGATAACTTTTCTTTTTCTTAGTTGTGGTTTGGAGTCCCTGAAAGAGTAATTAGCCATGAGGTGGAAGCAGTTATCCCTGACCTCTCTTGGGTGGAGAAGACAGAAGTCCAGCCCCCCACTCATCTTCTACCTCCAGAAATGCCCCTAGTGCCTCGCCTTCCACCCTTGGGGGTAAAAGGGAGACAGGGACCTGGGAGTCTGGACTGGGAGTCCCAAGTCCCAAGTTGGAAGAGCAGAGGATCGAGACATTGCCTGAATCAGCTCCTTTGAGGCACTTCACTGCCCAGTCTCTCCAGTCACTTCAGTTAAGCCTCCTTACCTTGCTCCCTCTGTTATTCCAGGAGCCCTTGTCCCTTGCCTTGCCAGGCCTCAGGCATAAAAGCCCCTGCTGTTTTCTGTGGATGGCCTGGGACCTGCCAAGGCAGCGACCAACTCTGTCCCCACTCTTGGACCTGATGGATAATCCTGATGCCCTTCTAGAAAAGACATTTCGTTCTCAGGCACAGGAGCCTGGGGAGAGGGGAGAGGCAGGGCAGCTTTGTGTACTATTGGGGAAGGAGCGGGCACTATACTTTGGAAACAGAAAGGGTAGACTAACTAAGGGGTCTTTCCCCCAACTTGAAGGGACTTGTAGGCATCTGGTGGATGCATATTAGAAACTGAGGCAAAGCCTGGATCCCATGCTAGAGTTTCTGATGAACTGAGGACACTAGATGATCAAGCAAGAGTTTCTGATGAACTGAGGACCTAAACCCAGACTTGACCTTGATCCCTGCCAGTTGTCTCTGTAAAATGGCCTTGCCTCCACCTTGAATGACTTCTGGAGACCTTCCACAAATCAGTGTGCTACCCGACCACCCACTGCCCCTCAGGAGACCTCCTTGCAATGCCTTTCTCAGAATCAAGCCTGACTCAAGTGGCTGTCACTTTCTCTCCTTTCCCTGAACCCCAAAATAACAGCCTCAACCCAATTACCAATTTCAAACCTTGACTCTTTTGTAAGGGGTCAAATGGACAGAGTGAGAAAAGTCCCTGGTGTTGAAATAGCTGGATCTCTGATTCCCGGAGAGTCAGAGATAAGAGAGTGAGTTACAGGGTTGTGGATTTCTGGGGGAAGTTCCAGTTCCAGCCAACTGAGAAAGATGTTTTCATCTGCCCCTCATCAGGTAACTAGACCAGACTCACATTTTCCATGACTGTCCTCCTCCACCCCCCATACCCCACAAGCCCAGGTTCAGTTTGGGCGTTGGGGGCCACTGGTCTCAACCTCTAACCCTTCACCTTTTTCCCTCCAGCTGCCTTCTTGCTTGATCTTGGCTCTTCCCCTCTGCTCCTCTGTCACTCTCCCAACACCAGCCACCCTTCCTCTTTTTCACTTTCTCTTTCTTGATCTCTTCTCTTCAACCCGCCATCTACCAGGTTATTTCCCATCCTTTCCTCCTCAAGTCTTGGCCATATGAGCTCTCTTCCCCTTTTCCCACTCTCTCTTTTCTGCTCTCTATGACTCAATTTCTTTTTCCCTCTCCTCTCCTCTTCCAGAATCCCTTTTACAGTCAAATGTTCTGTTCCAAGCCTTCCTGTGGGAAGGAGCGTGCTGCCTGCTATCAGTTACACAGGCTCCCTGGAATGTTGGAGCCGGCCTCCTGATTCTTGGTGATTTCACTGGGAGAGCTGGGGGTGAGAAAAGGACAGGGTCCTTCTAACTCACAGCACTATTTCTGGCCTGGTTGCTCTCCAAACAACACAACACCAAAAATAGCCTGTGTTTGGTCTGGGCTTACTCTGCCCCTTTCATAGGAGTGAGCTTGGGTAAGGCCTGTGTGTCTCAGCCTCTTAAGATCATGGCCATGGGAGAGCCTGACAGAAATGGGTCTGCCTTGGCCTATCCAAGGTCCTTCCTCACCCTGATGCCATGCCTTACTTACCTTTCTTCTGCCTCCATAACCTCTCCCCTTTTCATCTTCTCCAACCCCCATCAGCCATCTCTCTTTAAACTCCCATAACACTAAAACCTGCCTCCCTCCAACGTAGCCCCTGCTTTCCACAGTTGCTTTTTTCTCCATTTATATCTAGTTTCAGGGGCAGGGAGGGCTCTAAGAACTACTTAATCAGGTCCTCTGAATCTGCAGCTGTGGGCCCTGAGGTCCCGAGAGGCTGGATTTGAGGCCACATAGTGGGGGAACAGTGCTCACTGGTGCAGACAGACCCAGCCTAGTCACAGGTCTGGCACTTAGCTGGTTGTGTGTCTTTAGGCAAAACTTCCATGACCCTCAGTTTTCTTATTTGTAGATGAGTATGTAAATAGGGATTTATAGATAGGTAGATAATGACTTCCATCCTTCAAGGTTGTTGTGAGGAGTAAACAAAGTATTGCCTGTCAATGTCTAACATATTCTGGGCTCTCACTAAGCGGCAGCCACTCTTGGTCGGGGCAGAGCCAGGATAGGAACCTGGACAGCTTGAGCTGTTAATTTGGTACAACACAAGCTCCTTGTTTTAGGCATTCTCTTTTACTTCCTTCAGCAATTAGTGGAGTGGATTAAATGCCTGAGAAGTGGATTAGCTGGTTATTTGAGAGAATGGCTGCCAGCCTCTCTTGTCCATTTCAGGCCAGAACTTTCTGCTTCAACCCCAGTCCTGACATGCTCCCACTGGCCAACTTTGCAGGTTTTAGATCACAAGAAGATTTTCCTTTCTGGTGGAAGGGTCACAGGGGAACCCCCACTGACATTTGACACATGTCCTGACTCCTTCAGCATACCAGAAAGTTGGCGGTGGGCTTGTTTTACCAACAAGTAGAAATAGAGCTGAGCTTGGCCTGCTCTTCGAGTGTTAGTTCTCTTGACCTGTTCTCTGCCACCCTGTCTTCTATCTCTTGTCGATTCCCCTATAACACCCTGTAACACTTTAACCACTTTTATGTACATCTCCTTGTCTTACAGTCATTTCTGTACTCATCCTTAAACTTACTGTGGCCATTGCCATGTCTTAGTTATCCTTATTTCCAAGAGAGAGGTAAGAGGGCAATATCCTTTGGTGGGGGTTGGGGGTGGGGGGGAGGCTCTCATAATGTCAGCGTTCAGTAAGCACCAGAGACTTACAGACCTCCTCCCCAACCCCAGGCAAGAATGAGCCTCCTCTCTTGGGGTAAAGAGACAGAGGGAGTGAATGGGGCCCAGTATAGCCACAAGGGGAAGTTTGGGGTGGGGAAGGGTGGAGTGTATGGTTTCTGGGGTCAGTAAGACCACAGAGCCTGATGGTGTCAGTCAGAATGTGGCAATGCAGGCCTCAGGGCACCCGGAGGCCACCCTGCTCGGATTCTGTCTTTTATTTCACTTCTCTTCACCTATGTCTCTGATTCCAACTCTGTTTCACTTCTCTCGTGTTTATCAGAACTTGTTCCTCATTCTCTACATTCCTGAATCTCCTTTTATAACTTCGTTTTATTTTACCCTGGCTGTTATGTGAATCTTGGTTTCCCTGAAATGGCAAAATATTTATTGATAATTAACACTCAGTGGTGTGATTCAGAGAAATATAAACTTCTTTCTGCCCTGAACATAGACACACTTACTGAGACAGAAGA